CCTAGGGAGCTCTAAAGTGAGAAAGAAAGACTTTTGTTTTTAACTAAAATATAACATACATAAAGTGCATTAATCTTATGTGTACAGCTGAAAGGAACACGAATGTTTAAATATATAGAACATTTCCAGCATCCCCAAAGGCCTCCTCATGACCTATCCCAATCAATATCCTCCAAACCGGAGATAAGCGTTATTCTGACTTCCATCACCATAGATTAGTTTTGCTTATTCTTGAACTTCACATAGGTTAAATCTGCGGTCCCCAGGCCCTGGGCTGCAGACTGGTACCAGTCAATGGCCTGTTAGGAACCAGACCACACAGCAGGAGGTGAGCAGCCAGCAAGCAAGCAAAGCTTCATCTGTATTTACAGCCGCTCCCCATCACTCGCATCACCGCCTGAGCTCCGCCTCCTGTCAGATCAGCAGTGGCATTAGATTCTCATAGGAACACAAACCCTACTGCAAAGTGTGCATGCAAGGGATCTAGGTTGCACGCTCCTTATGAGAATCTAATGCCTGATGATCTGAGGTAGAGCTGAGTTGGTGATGCCAGCACTCGGGAGCAGCTGCAAATACAGATTATCATTAGCAGAGAGGTTTGACTGCACAGTGAATGTAATGAGCTTGAGTCATCCCGAAACCATCCTCCACCTCTCCCCACCCCCTCATCCCCGTCCATGAAAAAATTGTCTTCCATGAAACTGGTCCCTGATGCCAAAAAGGTTAGGGACCACTGGTGTAGTAGGTGTGTAATAGCATTATGTCCAAAAAATGTACATTGTTTAATTTTAAAATACTTTATTGCTAAAAAATGCTAACAATCATCTGAGCCTTCAGTGAGTTGTAATCTTTTTGCTGGTCTTGCCTCAATGTGGATGGCTGCTAACTGATCAGAGTGGCGGTTGCTGAAGGCTGGAGTGGCTGTGGCAATTTCTTAAAATAAGGCAACAATGAAGCTTGCCACATCAATTGACTGTTCCTTTCACCACAGATTTCTCTGTAGTAAGTGATGCTGTTTGGTAGGTTTTTATCCACAGTAGAATGAACTTCTTTCAAAATTGGAGTCAATCCTCTCAAACCCTGCCACTGCTTTATCAACTAAGTTAATATAATAGTCTAAATCCTTTGTTATCATTTCAACAATGTTCACAGCATCTTCACCAGGAATAATTTCCATCTTATAAAACCACTTTCTTGGCCGGGCGTGGTGGCTCACGCCTGTAATCCCAGCTCTCTGGGAGGCCAAGGCAGGCGGATTGTTTGAGCTCACGAGTTCGAAACCAGCCTTAGCAAGAGCGAGACCCCGTCTCTACCAAAAATAGAAAGAAATTAATTGGACAACTAAAAATACATAGAAAAAACTAGCTGGGCATGGTGGCGCATGCCTGTAGTCCCAGCTACTCGGGAGGCTGAGGCAGGAGGATCACTTGAGCCCAGGAGTTC